GAAATGGTGGCGGGTCCGGATTGAATTCCCTCCGGGTCCGGATCCGGACCGGAGTCCGGACTTTGAGAAGTGCTGGTCTAGGGAGCTAGGGAAACACACTAAGGACTTGGACAACAGGGAGGACAGGATGGCCAGCGACACCTGCTGGCCAAACGGGCAGGAGACACGAAAGGCTGGGACAGATGGGTTCTGACCCTGACACTTCCTTTACCTGTGAGCTGGGTGTGAAGCCTCCGTGGCCAATCAGAATCAATATTTTTTAAACTAACCGCCTGGGAGAACTGAAAACATGACCTGTATTTGGAATTGAGGGCCAGATTTGAAAAGCCCTGAAACTGACCAGTGATTCTTTTGTGCCAGAATTTGGACAAACAAGAGACCTGTGTTTTTCTGCCTATGGTTCTGTATGATTCTGATGAGTTGTCTGTTAATCTCATGTTCTTTGTCCTACAGCTGCTGTTGTTGGAGGGTTAATAGGAGTGTTAGCAGTGCTCCTCCTGGTTCTGGCAGTAGGATGCCGGTATGTTCAGCAGAGATGAATCCACTTTGTCACCTACAGCAGTAATGACCTCATTCAGGGATTCCATGATTAGCAAAGTCAGGGGCGAATGTCAACATGTAAACAGGCATTTTGATACTCATGCCAGTACCTGCCCATGTCTACAGAACAACGTGCTTTAGTTGTCTTTCCACTTGTTCTGCCATTGTATCCTCACGATCTCCTGTGTTCTATGAACTTCATCTGACATTTCAAGAATAACATTCAATTATCCGGCAATTCAGTTATCTGGCAGAAGATCAGTCCCAACGCTGCCAGATACGGGAACTTTTATTGTAAATGGACTTCAGTATTTAAGAGTAGTACTTGACTTTATGATAATGGTGATCACCATTGAAGTTTGCATTGTGATTCCCCTTTAACTTGCAGGCATCGTGTGATGCGTCTCTGTGGGTACGAGTCTGTCATCGGGCACCAGGGCAATCAGCTGCAGGGAGGCGCTGAGGCTGGCGATGGCATCCTGCAGCAGGACAACGACCCCCACCAAGGTCAGGTGTCCAAGGCGCAGGGTCAGGTCACTCAGCAGCTGCTCCAGCTCAGCCAGGACCTGCCAGACGGCAACCATCTTGGGCTTCAGGTTGGTGGTGAAGGTCACCATCTTCAGCAACCCGTCGCAGCTGTCCTCCAGGACCAAGAGCTCACAGTCGGCCTCCTCCAGCTCAGCCTTTCCCTGGCAAACCCAGATGTTTTAAAAAGATTCAGCAACAAATTAATTTCTTTCATTGTGAAAACAAGATACACTCTTTCAGAGTAACAAGAGTTATACAGACGCTCCCCGGGTTACGATGGTCTGTGTTACAATATTTTGACTTTACAATGGGTAAATGTTTTTCACTTTCAGTACATTATTCAATTAATTACACATCAAATAAAATAGTTACTGGGAGATCTCCTCCTAGTGACCCATAGAAGTAAATACAGCAAAGTTGTTTTTGAATCTCTTCTTAGCAATAAATGGACTTTCTGCCAGCACTGTTCATGGTCTGAATGATTCAGAGTTTCTGGTAACTTCCTTTAACAAACATGCTTCATTTGCCATTTGCAGGAGTACAGGTACATCGCAATGCTACTTTTTGTCAACCCCATCTTGCTCTCCATACCTTGGAGGTCACAAAGCAGGGTCAGCTAATGTACAGCAGCCCTGGAGCTGGGGGCTAAGGGCCTTGCTCATGGGCTCACAGACATATGACTGTTCTGCCAAGGGTGGGGTTTGAACCAACAAGCTTCTGATCACAAACATAGAGGCTTGGCCAGCTGCCATTGGTATTTTCCAAATAAATGCCAGGTCTGGCCCTGTTTTCTGAGAGACATCTTCCTCATTCTTATGCCCTGACAGCAAACGCAGTGGGATGAGAATTTATGAAAACTGTTCGACATGACATGATTAAATTCCACCATTTCACATAGTTTTTTTATTTACATTTACATTTACAGCATTTGGCAGACGCCCTTAGCCAGAGCGACTTACATAAGTGCTTTAAGACTCCACAATGAATTTTTCCCGATACTAGCTCAGTAAAAACCAAGGCTATGAATACCATCGATCTAATACTCTGTTGGAAAAGTGCTGTTTTTTTTTTTTTTTTTTTTTTTTTTTA